GCCGGAAAGATCCCAAACCTTAAACCCGTAAACCCTCAAACCCCGCAACTACAAACCGCCAAACCCCCCTGCAATTGGTGCATGTCGTAGCACGACGCGAACGACTCCATGCAGGGATGGCTTCGGAGGCCCTTTCGGGCAGTCAGCCAGAGCTCATGGCAATTTACCTGGGATTTCCCTAAGGTTCCAAGCCTGCCAAGATTCCAGGAAAGACAGCCGGAGAACCGTCCCTTCCACCCAACCCTCCACCTCACCTGCACGCGCATTCATGCTTTGATCTCCAAAGACATGTGATCAGTTTGTGCTGATATATGCAAGTTTTGAGCTCGAACGCTTACTTCATCATGGCGCAGGAACCTTGTCTACCAAGGGTTCTCATGTTCATCTCGATGTGATGTGTGGAGCTTTCATTTTGGCTACTGCAAGTCCCTTGTGTTTTTGCCTTTTGAACATATGGATGAAGGTGACACTTCGTCTGAAGACTTAGAACAGGACATGGAGCGCAATTTCAGGTCGTCCTCAGAGATTGATTCTCCGGACACCTTCCTCGGCTGTTGTCTCACTTCGTACGGCAGAGAAACCGCCTGATTCTTCATGGTCGTCAATGTGACGTTTCGACGTTGGTGAAGCTTGCAGCCATGAATTCTCGTTGGTGTCGTGCTCTTTTGGTTGGCGGCCGATGGACCATTCAACTTCAACGTCATCGGATTGTTCAACACTCGGATGAGCACTCATTAGTTTCCGTTCTCACCCAGGACAACGCGCAAGGTCTCATCGGACATTTTTGCATTGGAGTATATGCTATGCTGCCCTTAGGCCGGATTAACAGTCAATTGCTTTGATGTCTGCTGTCAAGAACGAATTCTCACGACAAAAAGGACCTCCGTTTCGGAGCATGTTTGTGTGCATAATTGTGTAGTGTGTGCACGTGCGGGATCTTTCCTTCAGGTGACCAGTGAAGCCATTAGGGATGCTCAACATGCCCAATCTTGAGATTCAAATTTGTTTAACTCCGGCAGTACCGGTAGATTCCTAGGAGAGGCAAGGGCTCGATCCACACAACCTCCACTGCCTCGGTATACGTCCCGTACGGGATTGTCAAAAGGTACCGTTGTTCGTGTGGATGACCCGTCCTGATCTTCGTATCGGTGCTGGGACCAGTGGATCCAGCTCAGCCTCAGGGAGCGTTTCGACCAAGGCCATGCCATATAGGACATCTGGGAGGTCGCGCAGCAGAAGCAGACGACGATCATGATTGTCTTGTGACCTTCACTTTCTGAATGCGTAGCAGGTCACCCATCACCTTCTTCCTTTAGCACTGCTAGATTTGCAGATGCGTGTCAAATAGTCTGTTGCTACAGGTCCGGTGCTTGCACTTGCTGCCTGGAATTAGCTTTTACTCTACACCTGTTAGGTCCAAGGATCGCAGGAGTGAACCCAGTTCACACCAGGCACGATGTGGAGCCATGTTTCTGCCACTTTCTTCCGCTTACCATAATCCGCCCAGTGGGGCTTTACTTTCACAGGATGCAACCCAGATCTCAGGGACCACAATCGCAGCATTCAGATGAAGAACAGAACGAGCTTGTCATGGACAGTGTCAATGCAGTAGATCTGTTTGGTCATACCAAACGCCTTTTTGGAGAGGCGGACAGCATGTTTCAGCATCGACTACGGATGTACACCCCTCGTTTGTGGTCTGAGCTTGTGTCAGAAGAGGATTGCGTTCGATTACTGAAACTGAGTTATTCACTTCTTTGCACGGCACGCGTGGCAGCTGTCAGCCGCCAATGGTACCGGACGATCATTTCGGAAGATCATCGGGAGTACAGTATTCATCTTGCTCAATTGCAGGAACGCGCCGCCCTTAGATCATTCAGGTTCGAGATCACCCAGGACGATGAGAGAGCTTTTCAAGGTCATTTGTATGTTGATGTGTGTGAGTCCACAGATTGACACACCACTGGCAGAAACAAATGACAACAATGTGGAGCAATGGGTGGCACTTCTTCCCAGGTCATTGGAATCAGAATTCCAACACCTGCTGCAGGAGATCTCAAAGGAACAGGACAGAAGAACAGCTAGCGACGTCTTCCAGCTCTTCCGGATGAAATGCCTTCCGCAAAACAACGACAGTAGCACTGAAGACAGTCCTGGTGAATTCGCGGACAACATCAACTACGGAATTGCTGACATGATAACAGTTCTTGAGAAATGCGCAGTTGGGAGCCGTTTCAGTCAGCCGCAATATTCCTTCACGGCACCTCGCAATACAGCGCGAGGCAAAAAATTGTTCACTCTTTGAGGAAGTTGAACGCCGTCATTGTTCTGGATTGATGCTTAGTTTTGCGGACTCGGATACATGTTTCTTCAGCAAGCACGGGGTGGTACGGCTCCACTGGCGGACGGCACACTGAAGACTTTTTCGTTTGGCCCGTCAGGGTTTTTGGTTACTTCACGTTGAGGCATGGCAACACACAAGATGTCTCATTCTTTCATTCTTTCATGTTCATGCCTACTGCAACGATTTGAACACACATATGTTCAACAACATGCAGGGGGAGTTCATGTAGGGTTGCTACCAGTTGAAAGAACAGTAGTGGTGGTGGTGCTGGTGCTGGTGCTGGTGCTGGTGGTGGCGGCGGTGCTGCTGGTGGCAGTAATCGTAGTAGCACAGGACGAGGATGCCTGAGGCTCACAGACAGGACTCAGGCCAACGAAGACGCCTGTCTTGTGAGTGTGATATGATCCCGGGACGCTGGGATCACGTACCTGCATGTGCAGCTCGGAAGCCGATTTGAAGTGCTAGCGTCAGCCATTTTTCCAATGAGCAGATCGTCCAGGACAAAGAGTGATTTGCAGACACAGACAATGAGAAACATGTTGCACCAGGCAGTACATGGGAAGCATGTTGTGGTTTTCTCGATGCATGTGTTAATCATGTTGCTAGGATTTCATGTACATGTGGACAGGTTCGTGTATAGGACGTTGTTCTATTTGCAACAGCAGGTCCCCCCTATGAGATCTTCGAAATGGGAAACCACTCGATACAATTCTCATCCGTGCGTGTTTGTGTGTTTTTATTTGTCTAGTTTGGTCCTGCTGAAAGACGCCACAACTCGACAACAAAAACACAACACCTGCAAATACACCGCATGAAATGTTGTGTTTTTTGTGGTGTAGTGGTTCGTTGACAGAAATTTGTCTGCAAGAACCCGTCCTTCGAGGCGTCCCTCGTCCTGCTTTGGAAAAGTGGTGAAGGAACTTGTCGGATGCAATCCTGCCACCTACAAAGCTGCAGCATGGCGCGTGATTCCACCATGCCAGCATGCAAAAAAAAAACTTCCTGTTCCTCTGAAAAAGTCAGCTGAAAAACATGTTGTCTCAGGCCCTTACCGTGAAGCTTCACGGCCTGCAGACCTTGGCACAGACGATGCCCCCAGCATGGAGTGACACTTTCCTTTCTTGTGTGTGCGGGGAATCATGGCATGATTTGAGTCCAAGAACCGATTGTACACCGTTGTATTCTCCACATGCTTCGCTTCCAGCCGAGCAAGGTAGGACCCAATGCCAGCTGACACCTACAAAGTTACGACAAGCAACGCGTGCGGCAGGAAGGGGCGCATTGCATAAGAAGTCCAAATGCAAAAAACTGAGGAAGCAGAATCGCAAACGAGCACGACCGCAAGTCTTTCTGAACCCGTTCTGTAAGACGACATAAGATGACAATGTTGGCTGTCTTCAACAAAAGACTTAAGTACTGCAAACCTTTTGACTAAGACCAAAAGAATGCTTGGCCGACTTAGTTATTCGCTCTGTGTTGACAAAGTCTGCCTGGTCAACAAAGTTGAGGTGACCCCTGGGCCGCACGAATGGCATGGGCTGTGTCAAATCTCATGCAACGGAAGTAAAGGCTTCATGCGAGATTCGTGGAACTCCTCCTGCGAGCTTGTGTCGGGTCCAAAGCAAGTCTGGCAAGCGGGTCGACCACTGAATCGGGATCTTCATCCTGCTCGCTAGCACATGGGCAAGGCAAAGTCCCAAAACGCGAGCCACCAGCATACCCCCGCCTCGCTTGAAGCTGACGACACATGTCCTTCATTTTGATGTCCTTCCTTTGGAAGAACATGTTTTTCCTTACCAGGCAAGACCCTTGGCACAAAGAAAGCTTTCAGCACATAAGCACCTGTGACATGTGGGCTTCTTTTTGAGCTGAGATGCTGCGGTGATACCTTGGTAGAGACACATGCCAGTTTAAGGGTAGGATGTAGGCACTGCAATAGTTTGGCCAACTGACTGTTGCCCTCCAGTTCTGGAGCGTGCCTTTGCATCTATTCCAAAAGTTCCTCGTCGCAAGGCTGCAATGACAGCTGAAAACGGTTTGCGCATCACAAGTGCAGTTCGAGAGCGGCTCAGGCGTCCTCTGGATGCAAGCACGCCATTTCAGCAAAACGTCATTCGACGTTTACCGGCGCACGCATCCATTCTACAGTGGCAATCATTCAGGACATTCCCGGGTTCGCAGCTTGCATGCACAAGGGAAAACTACATGGAGTGAGGTGCATGATGGCCAAGTATGGCATTTCAGTGTACTGCTTTGAAAAACTGGCGGCACAGGACATGCATGCAAAGAGTATTCAAGCCTGCTTGCCATGAAGCCTAAATCCAATTGCCAGCGCAATTACATATTGAGAATTGCGACATATTGCGACTTCAGCTAGCAGCTAGCACTGATATGCAGTACTCAAGATCTTGAAGTGCGAACAGGCCGACAGGCCGACCATAGCTTGGCGAGGCCAGTCCGGCATGCACAAGATGCATACCCGGCCTCCTGCTGAGGCGTTCCACAATCTTGCGAAGCCTTCTCATGTGCTGCAATTTGGAACAACACCCACATAACATGCCAACCACAGTGCTTTCTCCTGCTCTTGCAGCTCAACAAGCATTGTAAGCACCTGGGCCTGTGCTGGCAGGCTCGGCTGCCGAAGCCCCTCTTCTCAGTGCCCCCTCCGAGCCCTGTCTTGCTTACCGTACCTCATCCTGCAACATTGTTAAGACCATGCCCTTCGCTGTGTCCACTCTGAAACTGCAATACATTACTTAAGCACCATGAACCTTCCAACCCACCAGGTACAAATTGCGATGAAAGGAGATGATCCTGTGAATTCTGTGGGTATGCTTGGGCTCGGGCTTGCGATACTCAGGCAGCGAATTCCTGATGTAGCAGTACGGCATACGGAAACTCTGCGGTCAACTTTCTATGTTGTTTGTGGGCATGAAGGCCTTGTTTCGCAATACCATCTACTTTCTCCCCGCGGTAGTACTTCTGGTGTTTCCAGCTAACAGACTCGAGCAGCGATTCAGAGCTTCTCAAGCCAGAATCCAACTGCAACAGCTTCAAAAAAGCAAGGTTTTCCAGCTCATGCAGGGTGTAAAGGTTTAGCGGTTTAGGGATTTCTTTTCGTGTCCGGAGTTGAGGGTATGAGTATTCGCGGTCTTTTTGCACGGTGGCGGCGTCATTGCCAAATCGCTAAAGCTCAGCGGCCAGTCACACTTGTTTCAAAGATCTTCAGGTAAGAGAGGAAAACAGTCTCGCCAGCAATAGATGCTCCAAATCCACGTAAACTCTGTGCTTGAACCAACAGAGCGGCTGCTGCAGTGTCTGCACTAGCACTGCTTGGACAAGACGGTCCCAGAAGCCAAAACCACGCCAAGACTCATGTCCGGCCAGCTGGAATTTGCGTCAGGTGGAGGCGTGCTGGTCCTGATCAATCCAACAGAAAATGCAGCAGAGGTTCGCGCAAAAATTCCAAGCACCGTACTCAAAGTCTGGCGACATGGCCTTGCACATGCCAATTCCCTATCTTATCTGGCGCATGCCTGATGAAATCGCCTGATACCTAAGGCTCATGCTCGTTCAAAGTCGCCCTCTGCCTATCCAGGCAACACACAAAACACACCCAAACACGCGCTTCCCATGTGCAGCCTGCCTCGAAGAGTCTCTTCCTGAAATTGCTGTGGTCAAACGCGACAATCAGAAAGACGGGAAACGACTAAAACACTGTCGAGCGTCTGATAATGGAAAAAGGCATCGTTCAATGCGCCAGCATGCTTTTGGGTCAACTGCCTCATGAAATGAACAGCACAAATCGGCGTGGTAACCAGGCAGCTTCGGCCAAAGGAATCTGCCTATACAGTTCATGGTTGCGCGGCAGGCCAGGGCCAATCACGTCTCGGAAATTTCGCCTGAATCGTAAAGGATCTGCATCATCCTGTTGCTGGACTGTCTTTAGTAACTTTGATGCGCGCACAGAAAGTCTTTTGTCTCTGAAGCTGTCTCGCTTTCCCATGGTCTGCGATGCGCCATGCCCGTGCGGATGAGCAGTGGCCTGGGTGCGTACATTCAGTCCGCGTGCATGTTGTCACAAGCTCTAGGCTGGGCCTAGTGTTTGATCGAATGGGGGGGCAGAATTTGGCTATTGCAAACGAAAGTCTGCAACAATGAAGGAGACGACGGCAATTGGCAAACCCACTGCCAGCAACATCAGCACCGTCACCAAGCATAGCCGTCGCATGAATTGAACAACACCTGGCCCAGCCACACGCCAAGCTCCACGAGCCACGTGAGCACGTCCTCCCTCACTCTCAGCTTCAGTCTGGTCGGATGGCATGCTGAATGCCCCTCCATCACTGCACAAAGGCAATTCCTCCAACACGCATTGACAAGGTGAGCACATCATCACGATAAACACCCGTGTGATTTGGATGTTTCTGGCGGCCTGTTGACTTAGCTCCTCAGCCATGGCGGTAACATTTGGCTGCAGCAGGAGCTCTGCCTCGACAAGGGTACGTGGCTGTCCCAACTTTATTCCCAACACTCACGCGGAACGAGCTCAGAACTTGACTTTGCCTGCAACTGCTCAAGTTGCTGGCGGACCCCATCGGGGTTGTATTTGGAAATGAAACCGTACAAGGGACACCTTTCAAATTCCAAGCAGCCACATGATGTCGCCTCTGAGTGGACATGCTATGACATGCTAACTTGATCTATATAACCATTTGGTGCAACATGCTGCCTATCAAGGCAACCTTCACATGCCATGAACTCACGCAATGACCGGATGTATACCTGGGTGGGCATTTACAAAATGAATTTGCTGCTCAACGAAGCTTATCAAACATCGGCTAACAAAACATCTGATAAGCTCTCCATTTGCTGCTATGACATTTTGTTTGCTGCCATGACGCGTGAAAATTGCAAAGGAAAATTCCACCAAGCAGAACCTCACAGATGACAACACATGACGATCTGGCACTTCCCAAGTGATCACACTGGCAAGCCGCAGTTCTCAGGCATTCTCCCGCATGGGTTCGAAGCATGATGGCATCGGCTTGGCAAGCTGTAAAGCAGCAATCGCCAAATTCTCGTATCGGAGCATTGCCTCAGATGTAACTTGTGTATGACGGCTTGTCATTCACGAAACCAGCCATTGCTATCTCTGCTACTGCTTTAAGACGCATGCCTATGAGCCTATGACAACCTTCGGTCAAAGACCAACCACCAATTCGACTCTTGCTCGTGCAGCGGCTGCTGCTGCTGCTGCTGCTACTGTTATTACTGCTACTACTACTATTACTACTACTACTACTACTATTCCAGCACAGCCAGTCTATCCGAGTTGGCTTGTGAACAGCTAAGTGGCAGCGACTGAGCGCCGGCGCATCGGGCGCGCAAGACCACAGGAGGGAGTCAGTGCTACGAATAGCCATGAATAAAGACTCCAG